ACATATGAGTTACAATTGTTTCAACGTTACTCTTGGAGAAGAGAAAAGAGAATTAGAATTAGGAATTTTTTTAAGTTTGGGCTACATTATCCTGTTTCTTGATATTCTCAATCCTCAGTCTCTCTAGCCTCTCTTTCCATGGCTAAGACTCAAGCGGGAGCCAATCCACCACCTTCTCACCCCCTTCGTCCGTCTTCTCACCTCCTTTGTCCGTCTTCTCACCTTCTCCTTCTAGCCTCATCTCATCTTTTCATCCTCATCCCCTTCTTCTTTCTGGTTCCAAATCAAAGTTACAACAAGCCTATCTGTCCTGCATCACACCATGAAGAAGAAACTTCAATTTGTTTAGAGTCAATCAACTGAACACAAGTTACTCATTGAGAAATGACTTCCATTGGAAAAAGCATAGCGGAAAAAGCATAGCCTGATATCTATTGTTCAAACCTATTTGATTAGACTTGATAGCATTTTATGCTTCTTGTTGACTTTTAGAATTTTGGTATGTGAATATGCTCCCGTGTGAAACAAGGGAAATAATAAGCAAGCGATCATGAAAGCAGTTTGTCATGTTAATGAGACAATAAATTTCCTGAGGAAAGATATGTGAGAACTTTCATACAGAAGATTATGCAATTTATGCGTACAAAAGAATACAAAAATCGTTACTTGGGACTGATGCAGCAACCCATACTGGATCTCTTACCCCAGCTGAAATCCTAAAACAAAGAGGAAAAGGGAAAAATAGTAAGATAAACAGATCTCTGGATTATGTGTGTTCAAAAAGATTGCTAAATCATATGAACCAAAACCCTAGGCTCTAATGTAGAGTTGTGCAATGTCCATGATCTGGATCTGGAGGGGGGTAATTCAGGTGAATAGGTCTTGTTGGTTGGATTAATGGTTTCTTAAAACTTTTTGAATTTGAACTAAATTACGTGAAATTTAAGTTCAAATTAAAACTAGATAACTAAGTCTATTCAATCCATTATGCTAATAAATCATGCAATAATAAAATTTAAATCAATAAAGCGTAAAAGATGGAGACAGATTTTTTATGTGGAAGACCCAAGTGGCATAGCCCACGCATGAATTCACTGTGAGAAAGAGATATTACGACTAGGTTACCAGTGTTAATAAGAGAAAACAGAATCAAACAAAATTTCTGATGTGGAAGAGATACGCATCCCTTTGGTTCTCTTTTTTTTATTTATGTGTGTACCATAACTATCTTCCAGTTAGAAAGGTTGTCGTGGCCAGTCCCAATGGAAAGGTGAGCTTTTCCAATTGGAAGGGTGAACGTTTCTAGTTGAAAGAGTAATATGCAAATAAGGTGCGATCATGAAGCGACACGTGGCTTCATTAAAGGAAGTCATTTGGTAAAAGTAACTGCATAGGGACACGTGTCAGCCAAAGAGGGAAGCAGTTACCTGCAGTTGGAAAGACGTGTGACTTTCCAAGTGGACACGTGGCAGGCAGAGAAGGGAGCTATTTTCTACAGTTGGAAAGTTGCTGTTGAATGGGACATGTGTTAGCCACAGAGGGAAGTAGTTACCTGCAGTTGGAAAGACGTGTGACTTTCCAAGTGGACACATGTCAGCCAGAGAAGGAGCAGTTACCTTCAAGTTAGAGGTAGTTCCAAGCAGTTAGGAGATCGTGGTCCATTCCATTTGACAGTTTCAGAACGTGGCTAAAAGCCTTCAATTGAAATTGAACCACCAAAATCACTCCTTCAAAGCTGTAATTTATGGGACATCATGTTCTCACACGTGTCAACATCATGATAAGACTAAGGGAGACATGGGACACGTGGCACAAATTAGACGTTCCACTTGGCACAAATCAGACGTTCCACTTGGCTGCATCTCAACAACAGATGGAACTGCCACTGACAATAAATATAAGACTTGGACAAAATAAAAGGACATCTCCACACAGATCAAACAACTCCTATTTTCATTTACTCTTCATTTCAATTCATGCACTTTATCTTTTCCTAGTGTAATCTTTACTTTTTAGGCACTTTAATTTTCCACATATGTATTACAATTCCTTTAATTTCGAGCACTTGTACTTCAGTTCCTAGTTTAATGAAATTCAATTTAGTTCAGTTCATTTCATTCTTCCAACAACACTTTCACCAAGCATTTCCATCCTTTTCCATTCCATCTTTCCATTTCTGAAGTCCTTTTCCACAAAGGCAAAAAAAACCTAGCGAGAGCGGTCATTCTAAGCTCTCCACAATCGGCTGAACTTCAAGCTTCTCACGGCCAGATTTGGAATATAGTTTGGCTCTATTCCATCTCCATTGGATTCTTGGCGGATCCTGGCACGCCCGCACCTTCCACCTTTCTACTTGGAATAGACAGAATTTTTGTCGCCAAACATATTGGCACGCCCAGTGGGACCACCGGTTAAAGAAATTGAAGATAATGGATGGAAGAAGAATTTCAATGAGTCCAAGCCTATTTATTGCCGAAGAACGTAAGCAATTTTTCCAAGAACTCATGGAAAAGTTCCAAGAATGTTTTCGGAATGCAATATCAGAATGGGAAAGGTCCCAACAGCATGTACGAACCCGTCCACATGCTCAACAACTACTACCACCTCAAGTGCCGATTCCACCAACAGTGCAACCACAACCACCACCAGTTCAGGTTCCACTTCAAGTGGAACCCCAAGTACAGATTCGTCCACCAGCAGTAGTTCAACCACTTCCACCGCAAGTGCAGGTTCCACTTCAAGTGCAATATCCTCCACCAACAATAGTCCAACCACCTCCATCTCATGTCCAACAGAATATTCCATTTCTGAGCATTCAACAATTTGCAACCACACCACCAAGGCCACCTATGGCCTTTCCAATAGCGTTTGAAGGACAACCCCCTCCAAAAAAATCTCGATGGAGGAACATCCTTCTAGCAGAACCAAACCCACTTCTAGTGGTGTTTGGGGGGCAAAGCATGGCCAATCAACTATGTATTTGGCCAGAAGAAGTACAAATTCGTCCTCCTTGTAAGCCTCCAGACCCCGGGGAGCAACGAATTGAATGAAAGGTATCGAGCTCTCAACATTACAACTTTTGGCCTAGACAATGGGCTGAAAAATTTTAGTTGTCCCATTCCTCACCCAATAGAAGTATTACATGCCAAATTCTCACTCAATATCTAAAATTTTACATGCCTTATTATTTTTCAGAGAATATCAGGCACATAAAATTTGGGGGGTAATGTTTATGCCATAACTATCTTCCAGTTGGAAAGGTTGTCGTGGCCGGTCCCAATGGAAGAGCATTTGCTACTGGAAGGGTGAACGCTTTCAATTGGAAAGTAATATGCAAATAAAGTGTATTCATGAAGCGACACGTGGCTTCATCAAAGGAAGCCATTTGGTACAAGTAACTGCATAGGGACACGTGTCAGCCGAAGAGGGAAGCAGTTACCTGCAGTTGGGAAGACGTGTGACTTTCCAAGTGAACACGTGGCAGGCAAAGAAGGAAGCCGTTTTCTACAGTTGAAAAGTTGCTGCTGAATGGGATACGTGTTAGCCAAAGAGGGAAGCTGTTATCTGCAATTGGTAAGACGTGTGACTTTCCAAGTGGACACGTGCCAGGCAGAGAAGGAAGCCGTTTTCTACAGTTGGAAAGTTACTACTGAATGGGACACTTGTCAGCCAAAGAGGGAAGCAATTGCCTGCAGTTGGAAAGACGTGTGACTTTCCAAGTGGACACGTGTCAGGCAGAAAACGAGCAGTTACCTGCAAGTTAGAGGCAGTTCCAGGCAATTAGGAGATCGTGGTCTATTCCATTTGACAGTTTCAGAACATGGCTTGAAGCTTGCAAAATAGTTTCAGCAGGGAATGATTGCCAAGTCAACTTTTGGCAACACCGTATTAGCTGTTGGAGTTTGAATCTGATCCAGAGGGTGGAATGTATAATGCTCCGTTGGACCTTCCAGACATGGCATAAGAATAATTCTTTCAGACTCCTTTTCTATCACTCAAGTCGCAAATCTTGAACTTACAAAATCTTGGATTAGGAATGGTTTCTGTTGATACAACTTTTCACTGCATATTAGTAGTGGTTTTGTTGAACATGATAGGATATCTCAAGGCTTCATCTGTAATAAATTTCATGCTGACTTCAGATTGGCAGATTAGTATAATGAACTGGTCCAGCTTTTTAGAACTTCCCTAAACATTCATCTTCTATAAAGAAATGAGAGACTGGAACCCCTTTCACTATCGTGCTTGACTTTTGCTTTTACGTGATAACTGGTAACTTGTTGCAATCATGCTAGTTAATGAGGGAGGGGACAGGTTTATAGGTTTGGTTCTTACCAATTGAAAGATATATTGCACTGTTAAACGTGATTATCTGATTTAATGCTCTATAGTTGTATTGCAAACATATATTGATATATATATAATTATTGTATTTAAAATTTATGTTGTTTGCATGGGTCTAACCTGTTTTGGTGCTACCAATTTGTTCAATGCATTGTGTTAGAATGTTTATGTATATATATATATATATATATATATTTATGTTGGGTCATTATGTAATTACCCATAGTTGTTAGGATCATTGTGTAATTAGGTAACATTGTGTAATTAGGTTATTACTCTTTTCCTTTATATAAGACTGTTGGCTTAGGGTTAATACATATACAATATACACGGATTTGCTCTCTCTCTCTCTCTCTCTCTCTCTCTCTCTCTCTCTCTCTCTCTCTCTCTCTCTCTCTGAACAAGCTATAGGATCACTATTATTTCAGGACAGTGATCGTTCCCTAGGCTTAACTCTCTCTCTCTCTCTCTGAACAAGCTATAGGATCACTATTATTTCAGGACAGTGATCGTTCCCTAGGCTTAACATGTCATATGTTTGATCTTGGTATGACGTATATCATCTTATTTGTATTTAAGATTGCCTATCTTTTAATCCTAGAGTAGTCGTTCACAAGAATATTGCATCTTCTGATGAGTTGGCCATTTTGATGCAGATTGAAGGAGCATTTGTTCAAGGTTTGGGATGGGTAGCCTTGGAAGAGCTAAAATGGGGAGATGCTGCTCATCCGTGGATTCCACCCGGCTCCTTGTACACCTGTGGTCCTGGAAGTTACAAAATTCCTACTCTGAATGATGTTCCCTTCAGATTTAGTGTTTCACTTTTGAAGGTAAGACCCTATGATTGTTCAGCTGATGAGCTAAGCAGCATCAACAACTCAAATCATGTGTTTATCATCAAATGCAGGCCAAATAACAAGCAACTACCCACAAAATCACATTTTATTGGCTATAGAATTGAGTTAAAAAAACACATTAAAATTCATATATTGTCCGAATTAAAATCATTGCTGGTATTGCTGTTGCTGTTGTGATAATAATATTTTTGGGGTGGAAGGGAGCGGGTTGTATATAGATAATAAGTGCAGTTGAATGAATTGTGGCCTAATCTGCTTATTTCCTCCAACTATTCCACTTTCTTCTTTCATGGATTACACTTGTTCTTTATTTTTAGTCCCAGTGACCTCATAAATTCTCTTGCTTATCGGTATTCATTCAATTCACAGGGTGCACCAAATGTCAAGGCCATTCATTCATCTAAAGCTGTTGGTGAGCCTCCCTTTTTCCTTGCTTCGGCCGTCTTTTTCGCCATAAAAGATGCCATTATAGCTGCGAGAGCAGAAGTGGGATGTAATGCCTGGTTTCCTCTTGATAACCCGGCAACACCGGAACGTATCCGGATGGCTTGTACAGATGAAATTATCAAATCAATTGCTAGCTATGATTTCCGCCCCAAGCTTAGTGTTTGATGCGACTTGTAATCTTTTTTGTTGGGGGGATCTGTATTTAGAAATCCACTGCTGGCATATTATGTATCCATTGTGTATATTTGCCTGCAAATCTAGCAAGTCCTGTGTAACAAATGTGAAATGGATTATTCTCAAATAAGCAAATGTAAAGTCTAATATTACGAGCCTTTTTTTTTTTTTTTTGAAGTACTACTAGGCTACAACCATTGGTATTTATCAAAGCAATTATAAGCTATTGACATGTTGTTTGCAAAAATAATTTACATAAAATATAGAAAATACACCATCTCTGTAACAAGATCTTCAAGTTGTAAAGAATTATTGTGGTGCTATTATCCTCTGAGGTTGATGTACAAATGAAAGGTGCTGACTCTTATAGTCAATATATATATATATATATATATATATATATATATTCACTCGCACACATCATCATCATTATTGTCTTTATCACATATGGATGCAGGTGCAGAGTTGGGAATTGTACCTTAGGGCTTACAAATGAATTTTAGAGATTTTGCCAAATTTGGTGTGGAATGAGAAATAACCACTTTCACTAAAGTGAGTTTTAAAAATGAAATTGTGATTTAGGAATGTTAAAATGGAAGGTTTTTAAGAAAACAGAGTTTAGGGTTTAAAAATGGTTCTCGAGATTTCGCCAGCATAACAATGAGGAATGAAAATGACCACTATAACCAAAGTGGGCTTTTAGAGATAAAATATGATTTGAGGATTTTAAAATGGGAGGGTTTTGAGAAAACTGTCTTAAGAGTATAAAAATAATTTTGGAGATTTCGCCATGACAACAAAGATAAAAATGACCACTTTTTATCAAAGTGGCTTTTAAAGATGAAAATATGATGTAGAAATGTTTAAAAATGAGAGCTTTTAAACAAAGTTTAGAGCTTAAAAATGAATTTTAGAGTTTTCGCCAACATGATAGCGTGGAATGAGAAATAACCACTTTTACTAAAGTGGGTTTTAGAGATGAAAATGTGATTTAGGAAGGTTAATATGAGAGGGTTATGAGAAAACCATGTCTTAGAGTTCTAAAATGATTTTTGGAGGTTTCTTCAGCATGATGGCGTGGAATGAAAATGACCATTTTTACCGAAATGTGTTTTTAGAGATCAAACTATGATGTAGGAATGTTGAAATGAAATATTTTAAGAAAACTGTGTCTTAGAGTTTAAATATGATTTTAGAGATTTTGTTGTACGGTGACAAGGAATGAAAATAACCACTCTTACTGTAGTGGGTTTTTAGATAAATGAAATATCATGCAGAGACTTTGAAAATGGAATTTTTTTTTTTTTTTTTTTTCAAGGAAAACTGAGCGTGGGTTGTAAAAATGAGCTTTAGAGAAGTCGCTAACATAATGACGTTGAATGAAAATGACCATTTTTACTAAAGTGAAATTTTGTAGATATAAAATGTCATGTAGAGACTTTAAAAAGTTGTTGTTGTTGTTTTTTTTTTTTTAACAAAAAAAAAAGAAAAAGAAAACCAAGCTTTGGGGTGTAAAAATAGGTTTAGATTGAAGGGATGGGAATCGTAATTTTGACAAGAGTAACGCCTTGAAAAAGTGTGTTGGGGTTTTGTGAAGCCCATTTTGAGTATAATTAAAGATATGTTTACAAATGTAGTCTTAAAAAAACTAGTGATGACTCCGAAAATAGACAAGTCACCTGCGCAATTCCGGGTGGATATAGTTTAGTAAACCTTCTAAAGGATCATGAGATCCACAAGGGTCATCATCGTTGGCATGAGAAAAAATCGTCATTATAGCGGCATGACAAGAATGTCATTGTATCAGGAGGAGCATGCTTATCACTTTTTTATTTATTTACTAAAATCAGTGTGTGTATTGATTTTAATGCTAATTTTTACAAAATTAATGATTACACAGCAATAAAGCTATGTATTAGTATAAAAGTAGACACTTGAAAGGGAGCTCTGCAGGAGTTTTAACTGGTTTGATGAGGGGTTTGCTTCTAGCAAGTCCCTTCGATGCGGGTGTGTTGCCCTCACACACACACACACACACACACACACACACACACACCGGGGGAGGCGAGTAACAAAGGTTTTTATACATACACACATATATATATATATATATATATATTGGTTATGTAATACAAAGAAAGGCATAAAGTAAAGCATTAAATAACAACATAAAGCATAATAGCAAGCACAAAGAACATATAGTGGGTTCAAATTAAGTTTCAAAATATTTACTAGCAAATTCAAAGTGGGACTGAAACTAGCCGCATCCGTACTTTTAGTTCATTTAAAGGGCAGCGACATCTTTTAAGTGCGACAGGTTCCTTTTTATAATAAAAGTAGGGCGACCACTTGTACTTTCTGTTGTTGTCATGCGGGCAATCCGAGTCCAATTTGTGGTTTTTAAGGGAATATGACACTAGCAAGAGACATCAGCATTGTAACATCATCAGATTACTTCCAGAATTCTATTTGTGATTGTTGACTATTTTGCCCCTACAGGGCATTTATGGATAAATTCCGAAGGTTTCTTCTTAAGGTTTTAAGGAGTTCCGAACACACTGGCGGGGTTCGTTTCCCCATTTGATGCTTTGATAAGCGTGTTTTAATGCAAAATCATGATCTTTCCCTTTTCTTGGATCTTCAACAATAGGTACTGAATCTACTTGATCTTAGGTGCATTCTTAGCTTTTTGGACATTTTGGAGTCGATGATGAAGTCAAATCTAAGATCCGTTGGTCGGATTTTCTAGAAAATAAAACGGAGAGGTTGGGGCAAAATGGGGTGCCTACACACACCTGCACCCATGGTAGGATTCATCATGTTATAGATCAATTAGCCTTCCTAATTAGATAGATTATTAAATTGGATAAATCATAAGTGATCAAATTTTGCAAGAGAATTAAAATATGAAAACGTGTTAATACACATATTTGAATCCAGAAAGTAATAAATGTATTTGTAGTAATAATGGGAATAACTAGGAAGCATAATGGAGAATTGCAATATATTTTTGCTTTTTTTTCCACATATATAGTTTTTGGCTTTTATTGCTTACAAGAAATGATACAAATGAATTTTAAATATATAAGAACTATAAAGAGGATCTTTGTTTAGGACCCTTCTTATTCACATAGACAGCTGCTTAAAATAAAACTTATGCGAAAAAATGTATTTCAACACGACAACTTCAAAAGAAGTTAGTTATTCTTTGTAACTGATGCAAGAAACCGTCATTAGCTTAGTAGCCTTTTGGAGGTGGTGGAGACTTGTAATAGTAAGGAGTAGGTGGTGATGGGGATGGAGGGGGCGGGGACTTGTAATAGTAAGGAGTAGGTGGTGATGGGGATGGAGGGGGCGGGGACTTGTTATAGTAAGGAGGAGGTGGTGATTTGGATGGTGGAGGTGGGGACTTGTAGTAGTAAGGAGTTGGTGGTGACTTGGATGGTGGAGGTGGGGACGTGTAGTGGTATGGAGGTGGTGGTGACTTGGATGGTGGAGGTGGGGACGAGTAGTGGTAAGGAGGAGGTGGTGACTTGGATGGTGGAGGTGGGGACGTGTAGTGGTAAGGAGGAGGTGGTGATTTAGATGGTGGTGGTGGGGATTTGTAGTAGTAAGGAGGTGGAGGTGACTTTGATGGAGGGGGTGGAGAATTGTAATGGTAAGGAGGAGGTGGTGACTTGGATGGTGAAGGTGGGGACGTGTAGTGGTATGGAGGTGGTGGTGACTTGGATGGTGGAGGTGGGGATGAGTAGTGGTAAGGAGGAGGTGGTGACTTGGATGGTGGAGGTGGGGACGCGTAGTGGTAAGGAGTTGGTGGTGACTTGGATGGTGGAGGTGGGGACGAGTGGTATGGAGGCGGTGGTGATTTAGATGGTGGTGGTGGGGACTTGTAGTAGTAAGGAGGAGGTGGTGACTTGGATGGTGGAGGTGGGGACGTGTAGTGGTAAGGAGGAGGTGGTGATTTAGATGGTGGTGGTGGGGATTTGTAGTAGTAAGGAGGTGGAGGTGACTTTGATGGAGGGGGTGGAGAGTTGTAATGGTAAGGAGGAGGTGGTGACTTGGATGGTGGAGGTGGGGACGTGTAGTGGTATGGAGGTGGTGGTGACTTGGATGGTGGAGGTGGGGACGAGTAGTGGTAAGGAGGAGGTGGTGACTTGGATGGTGGAGGTGGGGACGCGTAGTGGTAAGGAGTTGGTGGTGACTTGGATGGTGGAGGTGGGGACGTGTAGTGGTATGGAGGTGGTGGTGATTTAGATGGTGGTGGTGGGGACTTATAGTAGTAAGGAGGTGGAGGTGACTTTGATGGAGGGGGTGGAGAGTTATAATGGTAAGGAGGAGGTGGTGACTTGGATGGTGGAGGTGGGGACGTGTAGTGGTATGGAGGCGGTGGTGATTTAGATGGTGGTGGTGGGGACTTGTAGTAGTAAGGAGGTGGAGGTGACTTTGATGGAGGGGGTGGAGAGTTATAATGGTAAGGAGGAGGTGGTGACTTGGATGGTGGAGGTGGGGACGTGTAGTGGTATGGAGGCGGTGGTGATTTAGATGGTGGTGGTGGGGACTTGTAGTAGTAAGGAGGTGGAGGTGACTTTGATGGAGGGGGTGGAGAGTTATAATGGTAAGGAGGAGGTGGTGACTTGGATGGTGGAGGTGGGGACGTGTAGTGGTATGGAGGCGGTGGTGACTTGGATGGTGGAGGTGGGGACGTGTAGTGGTATGGAGGTGGAGGTGACTTTGATGGAGTGGGTGGAGAGTTGTAATGGTAATGAAGTGGTGGTGATTTAGATGGTGGTGGTGGGGACTTATAGTAGTAAGGAGGTGGAGGTGACTTTGATGGTGGGGGTGGGGACTTGTAATAGTAAGGAGGTGGTGGCGATGGTGGAGGTGGGGACCTGTAATAGTAAGGAGGTGGTGGTGACTCAAATGGTGGAGGTGGTGAAGCATAAATGTATGGCTTATCGGCAACTACAGAAATGGCTATTAAGCAAAATGCCATTGCATAAACAAGTTGAGGCCATTGCCTTAGCTTCCCTGGACTTCCCATTTCCGGAAAGGGGGATATGTTCTTAGAAGTATTGGTTTGTATGATTGAGAGGACTCGCTAAACCTATATATAGTATTCCATATGATGATTGGTGACATTGATATGTTTGTTTATAGAGGAAACAGGCTGTATTAAGATATACACAATTCAAGTCATATCTCTCATTTTTTTGAACTATTGAAAGGTGGTTTCCCACTAACATATCAGTTTCATTTAGGGGAGGCCATGAACATGTCAATATAAGAGTAGGTAATATGCTATATGCATGTAATATTTCTGTACGATCAAATTTTGATCACATATATATATATATATATTAATTTTGATCATTTCCAATAGCGCGTTTTAGGTAAATGGTTATGAAGTTTTCTTCTACCAGGACGCAAGAAAGAGAGAGATTTAAGTCAAAGTAGAAACCTGTTCTGGATCCATATGATTTGTTTGTCAGATTAAATAGGCTTATCTTTGCAAATGACATAAGGAAGTTGTTGAAAATAAGAATTTATTTATTTATTTTTATATATCTATTAACTTGTACTTCTTCAATATTGTTTCTTCTTGTACATATATTTATTCACCGCCACAAAGTTCTACACATTTTTTATTTTTTTATTTTAAAGTTTTTCTATTTATTGATATTTTTCATTCATTTCATTTGATTTTTAAACTATATGGATCATCATAATCTTTGTATGGAAATTGGGTAACCCACTATTTGTAACTTATCTACACGAGTGGATTAGAAATGTCGCACTATTTTTTATATTTGAAAAAATAACATAATTTTAAATACATTATTATGGTTTAATTAAAAGTTGAATATAACAAATTAATGCTTCCAGTGGAGAAAGCTAAACAACTCAAGCCCACTCCGTCTATGGTTCAGGTATCTGCTTTGCTTGACTTAGAAATTTGTTTTTTTCTTCTTCTTTTTTTTCCCAATTTTATTTCATTTTTTTTGGTGTCAAAACTGTCTGCCCATTACAAAAAAGCTGATGCCCTAGAATTTGTAAGCAAATGATTTGCAAAGGAAGTGAAATCATTTTTTTTTTTAAAGTGTGTTAACCATTTGCAATATATTCATAAAAAGATCCAATACATTAGAATATTTTTTGATCAATGAGCGCTACAACAATTATAATAATATTTGCAGACTTGGTTTCTCCATGTAAATGGTAATATTTGCAGGAAAAAAAGAAAAAAAAAAAAAAAAAAGGATTAATAATAAATTAGTTTAATTGGAGGTTTCTTCTGATCTACAAATCTATAGCTATTATAATGTTTCTATAACTATGTGTTTGTCAGTGAATCTTAGACTGCACGCTATAGGGTTGTTATCATTTCTTTTGACTTTGGCACTCCAAAGTTGTTGTAGTGTTATTTTAAAATTGATAAATGTGCGTTTATTAGAATATAAAAGCTTCAAATGATATAATTGGATACTGTGTAATTTGTCCTTTATATCTTTTTCTGGGTCAAATTTTGTTGGTGTCTTTGGAATAAGTTGATTCCCAAGATTTGCAAACCATATGGTGTGCAAATTTGCAAAGGGAATTACGCCAGGTGTGTAAGCATTTGAAATATAAATGTGAATTGATGCCCCTTTTTTATTATTATTATTATTATTATTTATGTCTGCAATTAGAATAATCTTGCTAATCATACATTTTAGTAGTTACAAAAGAACCATTCATATATTTCCAAATGCATGATTTAAATGGAACTTAGGTTTTTCTTTTCTGTTTTTTGTCGTTAATCAAGATTAAATTGAAAGATAAATTCAAAGAATACAATCTGAAGGCAATTTAATTAACAGAGAACAACTAAAGAAACAGGGGTGAAATACCCGACCTCCTCTGAGATTTGTTCAAATATTTCCTATTAAAACTATTGTCAAAAAGTCCCCTAACCTTTTTTGAAGTTTGTCCAAATATCTTCCCTGAAATTATTGTCAAACTAGCCCTTTATCTCCATTGAGATTTGTCAAAATAACCCCGGACACCCCTTGAGATTTGTCCAAATTTCTTTGACTACCCCAAATGTTAATAAATAAATATTTTTAAATGTCCAAACTACCCTCAAGTGAGAGAAATGACTCAAATGACCTTATTAAAATATCAATGAGCATTTCAACCAAATTTAATTGGACAAAACTACCCTTTTGGATTGTTTTTGCAGAGGTAAAAACAATTTTTTGTGGGCAGTTGAAGACAAATTTTCTTGAACAAGTAGTTTGTTGATGAATCAAAAGATGAACAATTATCAGCCAATGTCTATTTTGTTGAATTTTATGAATTATTTGTTGAATACTTTGTTTTGACAGCAAATATGTTGAATTATATATTGAAATGGTTATTAGGTATATTAATAAGGTCATTTGAGTCATTTTCACTCACTTAGTAATAGTTTGGACATTTATAGAATATTCCATTGACAGATTTAACTCTGATAATCGTTAAGGGTGGTTAGAGAAATTTGGACAAACCTTAAGGCCAGGGTGTTAGGTGATAAGCACTGAAAAGTGGGCATTTAAACCCCTTAAACTTGAACGTTCTAAGACCTTATTCTATCTTATTTTTTCGTTTTAGTCTAATTTCATGTTATTTTTATTTTCAGGCACTTATCCTCAAAATAAGTCAATTTAGCTGAATTAGAGTATAAAAGATGTAATCTAAAGCTCAGTGGAAGAAAAGAGCAAAGTGGAAGCAAAGTGGTAAAAAATAGCCTTCTTCGATCGATCGAAATAAGCTCTGATTGATCACATAGTGATCATTCCAACCATGCTAAGATGGATCGAGCCTTTTGTCCTTATCCTCAGAAAATTTTCTTTTTCGATCGATCCAACATTCCTTCGATTGATTGAACATTTTTGATCTTATCCCCACCTATGTAATACCCCTAATTTCAAAAGGATAGTCCTGATATTTAATTTATTATTTTAATTGAATTTTAAATTTGTTTAAATTGTTGATTAGCGTGTTTATTTGCAATAATTGATGGCTTGTTATTTAATGGTGATTTTGTGACTTAATTAATTATTAAATTGTATTTTATTTCTGTATTAATTATACACTTGTTTTTATTTTCCGTATTACATTAAATTGGAATTTATTGTTTGCCTTTAATTGAATTGATTATTAAATGTTTTAATTTAAGAAGTATTTTAATTACTTATTCGTTATGAAATTATAATTAGGGTTTTTGTTTTTAGAAGTAACGTATGTAGCCGACGCAGGTATTAATTAGGTTTTCTATGGACCGACTAAGAAATAGTTTAGGGTTTAGTTAAACTAGGGTTTTGGTGTAAACCTATAAATATAAGTATTACGTTCAGTTTAGGGTTTGAGAACCCTATTCACGACATAAAGAGAACAGAGAGAAGTTTGGAGGAGTCTGGGAAAGAACAGAGAGGGAAAACCAAAGGATCACCGGGACAGCTTAGGAGAAAGACGCTGAGATTTTTGAACCGAGTCTCACAGGCAAGTTCTAATCCTAACTCTTTCCCTTTGCCTCGTGTTCTTTGCACATCTAACACAACTCCAGGGAATATAAGGATTGAAATTTAAACTGAAACTTTCCATGCTCTGTTGTGTTAAAACTGTCGATGTTTATAAATTGTATACTGTTGTTTGATGTTTTTCCTGTAAACTATAAAATTTCATTCGTGTTAACTAATGAATAATGGGATTTAATCAACTTTGGAATACCCTAGGGACATCATTAAACTGGTTATGGTTCGTGTGGGTGTTCATTTAAACATTATATGCATGGAGGGGAAAAACATTCCAGTTTAAATTCTTGGTGGTATAATTCATGATTAATTAGTACCATTGGTGGAATAAGGAATTTACATGGCTTTTGATCTTACTGGAATCTAATTAAAACACTTAGGAACCCTAGGGATGAAGAATAGTTCGTCGAAAAATCGCTGAACATAGAAGAGATGAAGCACAGAGAAGAGACGTCTCAAGATTTCAAAGAGCCGGCTCATTGAAGCAAAGAGCAGGCTCTTGGAAACCAAAGAGCCGTCTCTAGGGGACTTGGAGCCGGCTCCAGACTAGGAGAGCCGGCTCCAAGCAAGAAAGAGTACGCTCTTTCTTTGCAAGAGCAAGCTCTTTCAACCGGTTATCAGTTTTTGGTTTTTCTGCGACCTGTTTGGCTACGGAACTCGGATTTTGGGATTTTCAGATTCTGTAGGAAGTTATACTTGGGTGTTTTGAGATGTTCTAAGTCTAATTAACACTTGTGAGAGTGGATTAATGCTTAACAAACCAGTAGGTGTTTATAGCTTGAACATTGGTAAGTCTCGACGGAAGTTGTTTTATTTCAGTGCAGAGGAATTTTAAATTGCTGAACCTTAATTTATTTATTCTCTGTGAGTGGAAATTTTATTAATATGATATTATTAATAATGGACAAGCATTATAATAAATATGGTTTTTATTAGACTTGTCATGGTTTTATGGACGAGAGGAATAAACTATCTACATGCTCAAGTAAGATAATTTGTAATGGAGTTATGGGATGAACATGATGCTTATCTATTTAATTTGTGTTCATCATGGAATTAATTGATATGTCTTATTATTTTGATCTATCAGTTACTGGAGTAAGCATGTTAGTCTATATCTCTATTTATGCTTATTATGGTTCAGTTGTTATGTACATTGATTATGTATTCTATCAACCGTTGAATAGATTGGATTATATGTACCGATATGGGACGGTGACATACTAGGTTTGGATTAGCTCAAATTGCTAAGTCCTACCTACTTTGGAATAAGGGTATGGATCACAAAAATAGAATCCTCCTTATGTATAAGTCTGTGCGGTTGAATAAGCTGAACGACTTAAGTCTATGCGGTTGAATAGGCTGAACGACTTACTGGATTTCTTATGGATGAATGCGAATGGATTTTAAATATATTATTATGGTACCGTGACTTGAGCTTGAGTCTCAGAGTCAACGGTTAGGGAGCGTATATGCAATAGGACGCGTA